TGTGTGTGTGTGTGTGTGTGTGTGTGTGTGTGTGTGTGTGTGTTTACAACAGAAAGCCAAGACAGAAACCTTCCTTTCCTTTCTCTTGAACCTTTGAGTGGGAGGACAGAGCTCTTCTAAGACAGAAGAAGAGGTCTTCCGACTCCATCGTGATGAGGCCAAGGGAGAAATGTTTGCTGGTAAACGGACTCACTGACAAGACCAAGCAAGAACTCAGGATGGGGTGATGGTGGTGGTGGCAGTCCACCTCCTCTATGAAGAGGCACTGGCTGGAATCAACCTTGTCAGAAGCTGGAGGGACTGAGAGGTCTGCCAAGTCTGCTCACCTGAAGTGATGAGGTGGCAAATAGTATCTCCTTTGCATTCTAAAATATTGCCTTGGTGGGAGCTGTTTGGGGCCTAGAAGAGAATGGCATCCACCCATTAGACATGTCAGACCACCTAAATGAAGATCCTCACACTCAATCTACAAGATTAAGTATTACACTTCTCATTAAGTATTACACTTCTCAAGTATGATATGATCAGATACTAAATAGACATATTTGTCATTGTGGATGGAACATGTTATGTCAAGACCTTCATATTCAATCTACAAAATTAAATATTAAAGCTCTCATGACACAAGTATGGTGTGATCAGATACTAAGTGTCTGGAACATGTTATGTCAGGATATATAGTGTGATAAACATGTAAATTTTACATTCTTATCCAGCTCAGGACAGGGATTAGAGTTCATCTTCCCTGCAAACTCATAGAGCTGGTATAGAAGCGAATTAGTTCATCTCTATAAAGAGCTCTCAGCTCATTGAAAGAGAGGCTGTCTGAGCCCAGATGCAGTCTTTAGGCTTTGATTTATACGTGCCTACTAATCGTCTAAAGGACACCTCATCCTGATTTGAGATGGGGCCAGAATGCTAAGTTGCACTCAGCCACACCAGCCTCCAGCCAAGGGGAATTCAATAACTCAGTGTCAGCAGGATCTTGAGTTAAAGTCTGCCCCGAGCTCCTCGCTAGAAGTGAGTGAGAGGAAGAGGGACTAACATCCCCCAGTGCCTCTACTGAGTAGCACTAAACACTGGGTTCTGACAGTATGTTCTTGCAAAGACCTCAGAAGTTAAACACAGTCTCTTCTTTGTTTCTCTGAGGCTCTGGAGGTGGAATTTGATTCCCAGCATTCACCAAATACCATGGTATAAAAAAACAAGAATTCATCCATGAACTATTCAACTTAGAAGCATTGTACCAACCTTCCTACACTTAACAACTTGCACA